AAGTAATGGCTGAAATAAAAAGTTTCTGTTTTTTTGAAACTGAAAAAGTATCTAATTTTTCATTCAATTTCAAACAAGAATTGCACATCGGATAACAAGGGAGGTTCGCATGTATACGTGTAGTGTGGTGATTGGACCTATCCACCCTATTTGTTCCAAGACCTATGGGCTTACTGGAGCTACATACTTTGATCAATTAGCCAAAATTTTGCTCTGATATGAATCATTGGTGCTTGATCTAGTGGTATTTTAATGGAGATTCTATTTATTGCTGTAGGATTCATATCATACATGTTTTTGTAACAGTATTGTGAAATATGTTTACTTTTATAAGTTTAAATTAATTAATGTTCAACCAAAAATTTGATTAAATAATATTACCAAAGGGGACTTTATTGTGACTTTTACTTGATGTCATGTATGTCCCTCTAATGTGCAATATAGACCATTGAGAACTCCATATGATTTGGAGGATGACATGATGGTATTGAGGTGAATGAGATGACTTGAGAACCTGGGGGGTTGGTACGATGTCATCACAAAAAAAAAAAAGTTGTACGAGGTTGGACGTGTTCAAGAATTCTTATGAAATGCCCAGAAACAGAAAATGTAAGCAATCAAACTCAAACCCTAATATTGGAGGATTAAAAGTTTATAGAAATAAAAATAAGAACCCAAGAATTGTTTCGGCTATAGCCCCACATATTCGGTGACCACTTCTAATACCTAATCCCCCATTGAGCATCCATATGAAATGGAAAACACTCAATTGTACTATAAAGCCAAAAATGGCAGCAAAGGTTAGAATCAGTTCCAAAGTATAAAAGACCATGCCACAAAGTATACTTATTTTTACAGAATTAGCAGATCGAGACACTAGTCCACCAAGAACCCATGAAATCACACTATCACTTTAACCTGATCCATACAGAAAAGGAACCCTCAAATCCTTCACACATTTCCACTCAGAAACACCAGGAATCAGAAAGAAAATAGAAGATTTCAAGTCTCGAATGAGATTTTTGAGATCAAAGAGAAAACCTCAATTTTCAGAGAGAACTTCTCAAAAGCCAAATGCTAATGAACTGAATGAAGATCCAGCAGCCATACGAAAGGTTTTTATCCTTAGAAGAATCCAAAAGCAAATCAGATGGCTAGAAGAGTGACAGTGCCAAGATCAAGAGAACTGCACCCATTAGTAAATATGCACTTCACAAACACGTTTATAGGCCAATTTTGGAAGCAAACTTTAACACACGTACATGTTTGTGAAGGAGGATTTTGCTTTGTCTGTTACTGCTGGGTTCGCGAAGGAGGCTACCTTGTGCTTCCAAGCGGGGAAGTTCGAGGACTGTCTGAAAGTCTTGAACGAGCTCTTGCGATTAAAAGAGAATGATCCAAAGGTGGTTTAGTTTCTGAAATTCTGGAT